AACAGGGTTTTGGAATTACCAGACTGGGAATTTGAAATAAGTATGATTAAGATGCCAGTGACTCTAATAGAGTAAATAGTATGTAAGAGTAGATAGATAATGGAAACAGAGAGATGGAAATTCTAAGACAGAACAAAAAAGAAATCTAAATCGTTAGTAATCTAAATAATTAACAGAAATGAAGAATGCCTTTGACAGTCTCATTAATTGACTGGGACAAGGTTGAGGAAAGAATTTCTGAGCCTGAGAATCTCCAAGTAGAAATCAATAAAACCAAAAAGCAAAGAGAGAAAAAAAATCCTTAGAAAAAAACAAAAAACGACAGAATATAAAAAAAACTCTGGAAACTACTACAAAAGATGTAGCATATGAGGAATGGGAACAACAACAACAAAAAAGAAAAGATAAAGGAACAGAAGAAATATTAAGCAATGACAGAATTTCCCCCATGTTAATGTTAGACACAAAACCACAGATCCAGGAAGCTAAAAGGATATCAAACAGGAAAAATGCAAACAAAATAACACATAACAAAATCTATAGCTAAGCATGTCATTTTCAAATTACAGAAAATCAAGGATATGGAATAGAGCATAGTATAATAAAGATACAAACTGTATGAAAGCAAGTTTTAAGAGTTAAGCATAGAATGGAAAAGTCTAATACATCTCTTGTAGGAGATGTCAAAGAAGAGAATATAGTAATTGAGGAAGAGGCAATAGTTAAAGACAGGACAAAAATTTCCATAATAATTAAACACAGTTGCCCACTTAACAACACAAGTTTGAACTGTGTGAGTCCACTTATATGCCAATTTTTATCAGTAAATACAGTTATGTACCATATCCATGGGTTTTGCATCCTCAGATACAATCAACTGTAGATCAAAAACAGTATTTTCTATCCATGACTTGGAATCTGCGAATGTGGAATGTTGAATGTATGCATTGTTCTATGCCATCTTATATAAGAGACTTAAGCGTCTGTGGATTTTGGTATCTGTGGGGGAGTCCTGGAAACTATCCCCTGTGGAAACCAAAAGCCAACATTATTTTACTTCTGGAGTTGTCAAAAGCTATATACAGCTTTTGGTTTCATGGGAGGTTGGGGCCTCTAAACTTTGAGGTCAGCTGCACATGTATCCTCAGATACCGGAAGCACAAGACCCCCAGGAAAATACATACTTTGATGCACTATAGTGACATTGCAGACCTGCAGAGGAAAACAAATGATTCTAAAATCAACAAGAAAGAAAAGGCAAATTTCATACAAAGTGCTAAAAAGTAACCTGAAAATAGACTTATTCAAGTGTACATTCCAAAATGTCTGTGAAACTCCAAAATTTTATGGATAAATGAAGACCTACCATGATTCATTATAACAAATATCTATGGTTTGTCAGTCACAAAGTTCCGATTTTTTTAAGCAGGAGAGCTATAGTTCTACATCATGGTTTGATAACTGAGAATAGCCAGAAGTCCCTTTTCTTCTTTTTTTTTTTTTAGATTACTGTAACTTTGTAGTAATTTTTTATTTTTTATTTATTTTAATTTATTTTTTCAAATACATTTGTCTCTGCCTACCCCCCACCACTTTCCCTTGCCCCCTTCCCTCCTTCCCTCCCTCAGCTCTTCCCCTTTGGTTTTGTCCATGAGTCCTTGCTATATGTTCCTTGACTTTCCCCTTCCCTTCCTTATCCCTGCCCCCCTCCCTCCTTCCCTCTTGTCTCTGTTGGTTTCTTTTCCTTTCAGTGTTGCTGATCTTATTTTCCTTGCATCTTTGTATTGTTGGTTAGGTTCCGCTTATAGGTGAGATCATATGGTATTTGTCTTTCTCCCCCTGGCTTATTTCCCTTAGCATAATGCTCTCCAGTTCCATCCATGCTGTCGCGAAGTTTAGTAGTTCTTTTTTTCTTTCTGCTGTGTAGTATTCCATTGTGTATATGTACCATTACTTTTTGATCCAATCATCTACTGATGGGCATTTAGGTTGCTTCCAACACTTGACTATTGTAAATTGTGCTGCTATGAACATTGGGGTGCATAGGGTCCTTGGAATTGGCGTTTTGGGAATCTTAGGGTATAGTCCCAGCAGGGGAATCACTGGATCGAAAGGCAGTTCCATTTTCAGCTTTCTGAGGAAATTCCACACTGCTTTCCACAGTGGCTGCACCAGTCTGCATTCCCACCAACAGTGGACTAGGGTTCCCTTTTCTCCACAGCCTCGCCAGCACCTGTTGTTTGTTGATCTGTTTATGATGGCCACTCTGACCGGTGTGAGGTGATACCTCATGGTGGTTTTGATCTGCATTTCTCTGATGGCTAGTGATGCTGAGCATCCTTTCAAATGCCTCTGGGCCCTCTGTATCTCCTCCTTGGAAAAGCATCTGCCCAGGTCCTTTGCCCATTTTTTGATTGGATCGTTTGTCTTCTTGGAGTGGAGTCGAGTGAGTTCTTTATATATCTTGGAGATCAAACCTCTACCTGATATATCATTAGCGAATATATTTTCCCATATGGTTGGCTCTCTTTTCATTTTGCTGATGTTTTATTTTAAAATATACACCATGAGTTCACTTTAAGCTATAAAATGTAGCTGGTTACAGTGAATTTGTAAACCACTGTGTAAAATTTTTATATCCTCCCACTGAAAACATATCAGAATACTCATGAGAATTTCATCTGTCAGGATACAACCTTGAACAAGTTGAAATTATAAAAATGGAGTGAACTATTACCATACTAATTATATGAACAGTAACAAATTACATGTCAGTATGATTTGACAGCACTTTGGAGACTCATTTCAATAAAGACACATGTACCTTTGACAGATACCCCTAATAGTTTAGACATGTCTATTGGGCATACTGTTGTTCTTAAAATGTGTTCGTTTCAATATATTATAAGGACTGGAAGAGAATAGGATGATAAATTCCACATTCTTTAAACTGAGAAATCTAACAACAAGGTTAGAATATTTTCTTGATTGATTTATTTTACCGCATTCCTTACAACGAGAAAAGTTTATATTTCTGAGTTAGACAATATTGATCATTGAAGTAGTTCTATTCATCAGCTTTATTTACAAGAGTTAAATGGCAAACACTGTTTTAAATAATGCCCAGATGAGGCTACGCTCTCTAAATTATAAATGTACTCTTAATTCTTGAGATTTACACATCATTGATCAAAGAGGAAAATGTGTGTTCATTGTGTGTTTGCTTCTTCAATCACACATCATGCATACTTCTAGATATAAAAAACACTTTGAACATCTTTAGCTTTATGTTTTGTTTTTTCTTTTTTAATCATTTTTGTTATTCTATTACAGTTTTCCCAATTTTTCCCCCTTTACCCACTTTTGCCCAGCACCACCCCCTGCTCCTGCAGTTAATTCCCACACTTAATACCCACAGTCCACATTTGTAGGTCATTCATACATGATATTTGTCTAGTCCCTTCCCCTTGTTTTCACCCTTTCCACCTTCCTCTCTCCCACTTCCGCTCTGACCACTTTCAGTCTATTTTAAGTTTCCATGCCTGTGGTTCCATATGGTTCATTAGTTTATTTTTTCATTAGATTTCTCACAGGTGAGATCATATGGTATTTGTCTTTCACCAACTGCTTTATTTCACTTAGCATAATACTCTCCAGTTCCATCCATGCTGTCAGGAAGGGTAGGAAATTCTTTTTTTCTTCTGCATAGTATTCCACTGTGTAAATGAACCACCCAGTTTTTTTTTTGTTTATTCTATTACAGTTGTCTCAATTTTTCCCCCTTTACTTCCCTCCGCCCATCACGCCCCCACCCCCTGCTCCCACAGTCAATTCCCACTCTGTTGTCCATGTTCATGGGTCATTCATACATGTCTTTTGTCTAGTCCTTTCCACTTCTTTCTACCATTGTCTTCTTTCCCCTCCCCTCTGGTCACTTTCAGTCTGCTCCATGTTTCCATTCATGTGGTTTATTTTGTTCATTAGTTTATTTTGTGGAATAGAGTCCATTTATAGGTGAGATCATATGGTAATTGTTTTTCATCAACAGCTTATTTCACTTAGCTTAATATTCTCCATTTCCATCCATGTTGTTGCAAAAGGTAGCAGTTCCATCTCTTTCTTTCTTGCTTGCTTAAGTGTAGATTGATTTTATTTATTTATTACTAAATGTCAAAGTTAATTATAAAATATTAAAAAAAATTAAAACCATTATGAAGTCTCAGCAATTAAACTAACATGACACCAGCACAATAATAATGAAGTAGATCAATGAAATATAATGAGCATTCTAGAGACAAACATATATATCTGATTAACATATGTATGATTAAGCTGATATTTCAAATCAATGGGTAAAATAGGGTGTATTCAACAAATAGGGTGCATGGACCACTATTACTTGAAATAAAACCAATATAGAGCCACATTTCACACATTATACAGGAAATATTCAGGTGAATTAAAAATCAATATGTAGACTGTAAGGAGTTTTAGAAGAAAATAGAACTAATATTTTTCATGACCTGAAGTAAAATATTATAACCCAGAAACTATAAAGTAAATATTTTTTTAAAAAGGAATGCAACGTGAGGAGGTGCTTTTTATTCATGAAGCAAATGGTACCAGTATTAGAAATGTTACATTCTTATTGCTTCTGGAATCTGATCTTTAGATCTTAATGTGACACACAGGAAAACAGGTGAGAGGACAGGATCTTGCTAGAGCTTGTCATTCCTGAAGTAAGTTCATCTGTCGTTATTCATCATTATTTCTCCCCTGCTATCATTGGTGTTTATTTTGTTCACATTGTGATGATTTGTATTACAAGTGGGAGAGAAAATTAAGCTAATAACCAATAGCAATAGATGTGAGGCAGACACATCTTTCTCTTTCACACTAAAGAACAGTATATAGTACAAAATTAGGGCTCTCTATTCAGACAATAGAATAAGGCACTGTAAAGTGGGAGGACTACAATGTTTCCATGGCAACAGGAAGTCTCATAAAGTTCTGGCTTCTGTCAGGCAGACTCTTCCTGGCTCAGGAGGAACATGTTTTAACTTGATGAGACCAAAACCAGGCAGCCTGGCTACAGGGTGGAAGGATGGCTGGGTGTCCAGTCCTTGGTAAGTCCTTCTGAAAGTGCGTAGTGAGTGCATCTAGAGGCTCCTGCTTCCTTATGCCGCCCTTCAGTCCGTACATCTTGCAGGCTTCCTTCAGCATGGGCACAGTTAGCTTACTCAGAGTGCCCTTGCTCACGTGAACCTTCAGTTCCTCTTCAGACAATTCCAGCTTGGGTCTTTTGCTTCCAGAACCTCCATCATCTTGTTTTCGCCTGGGAACTATTCTTTCAGGATTGTAATCAGGCGGGTAGACAAGCTCCTTAAACTCATCCACTAGGGAACCCAGTCTTTTATCCATTTCTTTAACTTTGGGCAATGTCACACATACTGCTTGTTCAGGCTCCATTGAATCCAAAGCCAAGGCCTCCAGGTTCCTAAAGTGCTGCTGGAGCACTGGGTTCTCAAAACTGTCACTTCTGTATTTGAAGCGGAGCTTCTGAACAATACCCTTCATCTTGTCTACTTGCTCTGGGTTTGCCATGACTGTTTCAGTAAAGGGCACCTTCCGCTTATCATCAGCATAGGGTAAGAAGATGAGATGGAAGCCTGGGGGAGTTACCTGAATTTTCTGGTCATCCATCTCCTCTTCTTGTGGCATCAAGACCACAAAATAAGGTGGGATGTTCTGGCGGGGGGTGTACCTGCACACTGCCATGACCTCGTTCTCCAGACACTTGGTGAGGAGAGCATTGAACAGGGTTGAGCTCCCATTAACCAAGGCCTCCTCAGGGTACACGAACAGGTAGGGCCTAATATAATGGTGCTTCTTCAGCATTATCAGGGGCTTGACACCGATGAGAACCAAGCCTGGTTCATCGAATCGTTTTAGCTGTTTTGTCTCTTCTTTCTCTAGTACAATCTGACGACTCCCATACAATCTGAGCCCTCTTGGTGTTGCTTGGCAGAAGCAAACCACCTGTATTTACATTAAATGTCCGTGTCTTGGTTTTCACTGGTTCATTTGTTTCCCGATAAAGCCTGACTGGAGGAGGTTTGACAGCCTTCTGGACTATATTATAAATGCCAACAGTGAATGCTATATCTTTGTTGAGCTTAAACTTCAACCTGACAAGCACACGCTTCTTGGTGTCCTTGGCGCAGACCCTCCTCAACAGGTCTTCTAGCTTGCTCGATTCCTGGAAGTGGACCTGTAGGTCCTCATCCTCTGCTACACTGATGATATCTCTGTAGAATATGGATACGTCAAAGCCTCCACGTTTCTTCAGGTGCATCAAGTCAAGGAAGATACCTGTCTCACGGAGATCCCCAGCTTTGGTCCTGGCCCGACTGGCTTTGGCACTGTCATAGCCATGGGGGTCATCTTCATTGGTGAACAACATGATCCTCTTATGGCTCATCTTGACCTGGGCATTGCTAAAGAGGTTGACACAGACCCACAGCACTTCACTTAGGGAGTAGTCACATACATAGCCAATCTGGTCTTGGAAATGTTTCTGTCCCTGCTGCCCCTTGAACTGTGTAAGCTCCAATATTCGTTTAGCACCTGGATTATACAACTCCTGTAAAACATAAATATTTTTGAAGTTCACTGAGTTTTTGTCCTTCTCAGTACCATAGAACACCACTGCCAAGAGATCTCGATCACTGCTTATGATTTTATTGGTGTACACACTCTGGATACACTGGATGCTAATGTCAAAAGGAGTCAATTCATCTTCACCCACTGATTTAAACATGGCCCTAGAAGCTTCAACCAAAAAAATCAAACTATCTCTTCCTGAATATGTATATTTTCCACCAGCTTCGAGGCCCTCCTCTTGTTCTTCTTCTTCATTGGCCTCGTTTTTGTAGTAAGACTCCCACTCTGACATGCTGGTAACTGCTTGCTCCGGCGCCGGGAAAAGATCAATTTGGACTCTAAAGTAAATATTAACAATACTACTACAAACTATATTAAACATTTATCTATATAGTAATATACATATAAAAAAGTTAAAGGTCAAGGAATAGAATAGAAAAGTATTTGCAACACATCTAAAACATGGTTAATGGGTTTTTTGTTTCTTGTTTCTTTTATTTATTTATTTACTTTTTTTAGGGAAAAAAGTTCTAAAAAACTTTTAATCAATAAATGGGTAAAGAATACGAAAAAGTCATTTAAAGTTTTTTTTTCATAATAGAAATAAGCAAGAAATATACTAAAACATGTTTAGTTTCAATAAATAGTAAAGAAACAACTAAAATAACACCATTGTCACAATCAGATTAATGAGTATTTAAAATATTGGTAATATCGACTATTGGCAACTGCTAAAAAGAACTCGGTATTCATAGAAACTTTTTCTTCATCTTAAAGTAGTCCTTTTAGGATACTTTACAGTGCTGGTTTGGTGGAGGTGTAGTCTTTTAGCATTCTTTTGTCTGGAAAACTCCTTATTTTGCCTTCCATTTTAATTGAGAACCTTGTTAGCAGAGCAGTCTTGGTTGCAAGACTTTGCTTTTCATGACTTGGAATATTTCTTGCCATTCCCTTCTGGCTTGCAGTGTTTTTGTTGAGAAGTCATATGCTAACCATATCAGGGTTCTTTTGTTTATTACTAGCTCTTTCTCCTTTGCTTGCTTTAGGATTCTCTGTCTTTGATATTTGGCATTTTAATGACAATGTGTCTTGGAGTGGGCCTCATTGGGTTCCTCTTGAATGGGACCCTCTGTGCTTCCTGGACTTGTGTGTCTTTTTCTCACCTCCAGTTAGGAAGTTTTCTATCACTACTTTTTCAAACAGGTTCTCTATCTCTTTCTCATCTTCTTCTCCTGCTGGTATCCCTATTATACAGATATTATTATGTTTCAGGATGTCCTACATTTCCCGAAATGCCTCTTCATTTCTTTTGAGTCTTTTTTCATTTTCTTGCTCTTTCTGGGAGTTTTTTTCTACCTTATCCTCCAGCTCGCTGATTCGGTCCTCAGCTTCATCAAGCCTGCTTTAAATTCTTTCTACTGTATTCTTCAATTCAGAAATTGTAGTCTTTGTTTCCTCTTGTATCTTACTGATAGTTTCTATGTCCTTTTTCAGGTTGATATAGTGTGCAGTAAGTTCCTCGTAATTTCCCTGAAGTTTTTCATTATTCTCTTTGAGCTCATTGAGCTTCCTTAGAACCATTGTTTGGAACTCAATATCTGATAGTTTACTTGTCTCTACTTCATTTAGTTGTCTGTGTGGGGATTCCTCCTTTCCCTTTGAGTGGGGCATATTTCTTTATCTTCCCATTATTTGTGAGACTCTTCTCTTTTGCTTCTGCTTCTTAAGTTGATTTTTCTTGATCTACTGACTTTGTGGTGTAAACTTCTATGGTTGGAGACTGCTGTTTTTACTTTCTTGATCTGCCTCTGATGATATCAGATGTTGACCCTGTCTGACTTTAGGCAGTCTGTTGGAGACTTCCAGTAATCTAATGTCTGTGGCTGTCTCCTTCAGCTGGTAATCTATTCACTCTGCACTCAGCAGGCTGCCTTAGACAGCTCAGGGCGGGGTGGAGCCCCTCTTGTGGACGGGGTTATTGTGTCCTTTCCAACTGCTGCCATATGGGGGAGGTGTCCGCACTGGGTCCGTACTGGCTACTCTCTCCGTTCTCTCCCCAAAACCTCCATCTCTAGTCTCTCCTCAAGTGTCTCCAGACCTCTCTGTTCCCCTTTTAACCAAGGATCTACTGTCTTAGCTGCCACTCTGCACTCAGCAGGCAGCTTCGACAGCACAGGGCAGGGTGGAATCCCACCTGGGGGTGGGGCTATTGAGTCCTTTGATGCTGGTGCTGCTCAGGGAGAGTGGTCTCTTCCTGAGCAAGATGCCTGCTGCTGCAAGGGGGATAAGTCAGCACTGAGATCTGGCTGGCTACACTCTCAGTTCATTCCCCAAAGACTCCTTCCCCAGTCTCTCCTCAGGCATCTCTAGCCCTCTCTGCCCCTACATCTGCCGGAGACCAGGGTAAGTGACTGCAAATAAAAGTTTTGTGTTGGCCCTATATTAGACTCTTTGCATCTCCAGCTACCTGTTTCTGGCAGAGAGAAACCCTGCAGCTTTTCGCAGATGGCTGTTTTCCGTGTACTTTTTGGGCTCTGGAGCTGTGGGCTAGAGATCCCTGCTTTTTGTTTAGTCCCTGCTATTCTCAGGGGGATCCCACTGGCTGTTTCAATATGCTTCTGGTGCTGCTGCCTGTGGGCGCCCCGCCCACCCTCTCAGGTCTGTACCACACCCTCTGCCATTTAGATTGCACTAAACCTGATTCTTCTGTCTTCAATGTTACAATGCTCCTTTCTTGCTATTGTTCAGTTGCTTGTTCCAAATGACTTCTCCACAATTTAGTTGTAACTCCAGGTTGGTCCTAGGAGAAGGTCAGTGTGACTTTCCCTCACTCCTTCACCATCTTGATTCTCCGCCATTGATATTTTAATAGGGATTGTGTTGCATCTATAGATTGTTTTCGGTAGTATGGACATTTTGATCATGTTAATTCTTCCAGTCCATGAACACAGTACATGCTTCTGTTTATTTGTATCTTCCTTAATTTCTGTCTTCAGTGCTCTCTAGTTTTCTGAGTAGAGGTCTTTTACCTCCTTGGATAAATTTATTCCTAGGTCCCTTATTTTTCTTGTTGCTATAAGAAAAGATGAAGTTTTCTAAGGGGAAGGATTGAGGGAGGGAGAAGGGGGGAGATGCAAGGGAAATTTGTGGGGGGAAGGCAGAGACAAATGTACTTGAAAAAATAAATTAATTAGTTTAAAAAAATGAGTTTTTTTCCCCTCATTTCCCTTTCTAACATTTTATTATTGGTGTACAAAAATGCCTTCAATTTCTGAATATTGCTATTATATCCCATTATCTTAGTAAAGCCACTTATTAGGTTTAGTCATTTTCTTGTGGAGAGTATAGGGTTTTGTACGTACACTATCATGTCATCTGGAAATAACTACAGTTTTACTTCTTCCTTTCCAATTTCGATGCCCTTTATTTCTTTTTCTTGTTAATCGCTGTGGCTTTAACTTCCAATATTATGTTGAATAGAATTGGTGAAAGTGTGAACCTTGTCTTATTGCTAATCTTAAGGGGAAAATTTTTAGTATTTACCAATTAAGTATGATGTTGACCTGTAGGTTTTTCATATATAGCTTTTATTATGTTGAGGTATGCTCGCTCTACTCCCACTTTGTTAAGTGTTTTTATCATAAATGGGTGCTGTACCTTATCAAATGTTTTTCTGTGTGTATTGGTATGATCATGGGATTTTTCACTTTCCGTTTGTTTATGTAATGTATTATGTTTTTTGATTTGTGAAGATTGTACCATCTTTGTATCCCTGGGGTGAATCTCACTTGATCATGGTGTATGATCTTTTTAATGTATTTCTGAATTCTGATTGTCTATACTTTGTTGAGGATTTCAGCATCTATGTACATCAGAGATATTGGCATGTGGTGTTCTTTCTGTGTTCTGTTTTTACCTGGTTTTGGAATTAGGGTGATAATGGCCTCATTGAAATGGTTCACGTGTCTTCCATTTTCTGGAATATTTTGGAATAATTTGGGAAGAATAGGTGTTATTTTTTTTCTTTAAATGTTTGGTTAAATTCTCCTGTGAAGCAGCCCAATTTAGAGCTTCTGTGTGCCTGAAGGTATTTTTTTTTTAATTATTTTGAATAGTGCTTCAACCTCACTAGTTGTTATTAGTTTATTCAGGATTTCTACTTTTTCTTGATTCAATTTTGGAAGATTTTATGTCTCTAGGAATTTGTCCATTTCATCCAGGTTGTCCAATTTCTTGGCATATAGTTTTTTATAGTAATTTCTTACAATCTGTTGTATTTTTGTAGTATCCTCTTTCATTTCTGATTTTATTTATTTGGGGCCTCTCTCTTTTTTTTCTTGATCAGTCTGGTTAAATGTCTGTCATTTTTTTTTATCTTTTCAAACAACCAGCTTCTGGATTTATTGATCCTTTGAATTGTTTTATTTCTATGTCATTTAATTCTGTCCTGATCCTGATTATTTCCTTCCTTCTATATACTCTAGGCTTTTTGTTGTTGTTGTTGTTGTTGTTGTTGTTGTTTCTCTAGTTCCTGCAGATGTTAGGTTATGTTTTTTATATGAGAGTTTTTATATTCTTTTAATTAATTGATTGATTTATGTTTAAGAGAGGGGATTAATTTATTTTTAAGAGACGAGAAAGGAGGGAAAAAGAAAGGGAGAGAAACATCAATTGTATCCCTCATGCCTCCTAATGGGAACCTGGCCTGCAACCCAAGCACGAGCCCTGACAGGGAATCAAACCAGTGGCTCTTGGTTCACAGTCTGACACTCAATCCACTGACCTGCACCAGCCAGGACATGGTATTTTATCTTCTTTATGTAGGCTTATATTGCTCTGTACTTTCCTCTCAGTAATGTCTTTGTAGTGTCCCACAGGTTTTGTGTTGTTGTTCATTTTCATTTGTTTACAGAAACTCTTTGATTTCTTCTTTATCTCATTGTTTATCCATTCATTATTTAATAACATGTTATTCAGTCTCCATGAATTTGATTTTTTAAACATTTTTCCCTTTAAGTTGGTTTCTAGTTTCAAGCCCTTGTGGCTTGAGAAAATGGTTGATATGATATCAATTTTCTTGAATTTGTTGAGGCTTGTCTTGTGTCCTACCTTGTGGTGTCTTTGAAAATGTTCCATGTGCATTTGAAAAGAATGTATACTTTGATTCCTTGAGGAGAAAGGTTCTATATATATCAGTTAAGTGCATTTGATCTAGGGTGTTGTTCAATGCCACGATTACTTTGTTGATTCTTTGTTTGGAAGATCTATTCATTGTTGAAGTGGGCTGTTAAAGTCCCCTAT